GAGCACTGTAGGAAGCTTCAGGTTGTCCGTAGTGAGATATCATCCAGCTCTCTAATTCATCCTCATCAATTGAGATGGGTTTTGAATTAGCTGACTGAGATTCGTCAAAAGTGACATGAATAGATTCCTCTATTGTCTGTCTTCGTTTGTTGAATACTCTGAAGGCTTTGGATATAGAAGAATTTCCAAGAAAGACTACTTCATCAGCTTTGGGATCGAACTTTCCAAGTTGGTCGCGGTTGTTGAGAATGTAACAAGTACAACCAAATATGTGAAGAAAGCTTATTAAAGGATTTCGTCCATGGAAGAGTTCATGGGCCATCTTCTTGAACCTTTTTACGATCAGCGATCGGTTTTGAGTGAAACAAGAAGTGTTGACAGCTTTAGCCCAAAATTGAGTTGGGAGATGAGATTCGCTGAGCAATGATCGAGCAGCCTCRATGATTGTTCGATTTCTTCTTTCAGCGACCCCATTCTGCTGAGGAGTTCTCATAGAGGAGAAATTGTGAGAGATTTCCTTGTCCTCAAGAAAGTTATTCATAGTACTGTTTTTGAAGTCAATACCATGGTTACTTCTGATAGATCATACTTTAACATTGTTTAGTACTTCTATCTTTTTGATGAACGAAATGAWTTCTTCAGGTGCTTCGTCCTTGGATCTTAGAAAGAATACCCAAGTATACCCGGCATACTCATCAACAATGACAAGTGTCAACTTCTTTCCAGCTAAGGATTGCACATTGACTGGACCAAAAGATCCATGTGCAATAGCTGAAGAGGCGCAGTCACTGAAGAGATTTGCTTCGATTTGAAGCTAGCTCTTGTGTGTTTTCCTTTTTCACAGGCTAAGCAAAGAGATTCTTTTGCAAACGAGTGTTAAGGAAGACCTTTGACAAGATCATTTCTTGACAGCTCACTAGTGTCTTGAAGTTGAGATGAGATAGTTGTTTGTGCCATAACCAGTTAATATCTGATGAGGCCTTAGAGAAGAAGCAACTATTCTCAGTGAGAGAATAATTCATGTTGATAATATAAACATTCTCTAGACGATAATCAGTTAGAGCAACCTTATCATCTTTGTCGAGAATATGACAAGAATTCTTTGAGAATTTAACTGTATAATCTTTATCACACAGTTGGCTGATGCTAAGAAGATTGTGCTTCAGTCCTTTAACGTATGCAACGCGTTTGAAAGTTGTTGTACCGTTGGATAATATACCAAAGCCTTTAGTATATGCTTTTCCATTTCCACCGAAGGTTACAGAAGGTCCTCTTCCTTCCTTGAAGTGAGATAGAAGATATATATCTCCAGTCATATGTCTTGAACATCCACTGTCCATATACCATATGCCTTTGACAACCTGAGCAAGGAAACAAAATAAGAATTGCTATCGGTACCCAGCTATTTGGGTCCAACTTTGTTAGAGGCTTCATCATCTGATACTGACGAATCATTATCAGAAGATGGCATCATTAAACCTGAAGA